CGCCGCGGGTGCCCCCGCCCGCCTGCGCGGATGCCTTAATTCGTGCGCCTGCCGGCACCAGGAGGGGAACGGGACAGGAGCGTGGGCAGCTGGGGGGAGCGCCCGGAGGGTGCCTCCCCTGTCCCCCTGCTCATCCTCAGGCAAAGGGCTGGAAGTGCCGGTGGTTCACAGAGAGATGTGGGCTGCCCAACGGGCCCTGACTCACTGTGCTCGCTTCCTGCCCCGGGACTGTGGGGACGGCTCCGAGGGGCGGCTGGGCCTCCTGCCGAGGCTGAGCCAGCGCCGCCTCTGCCGTTTGGCATCATGGGGACGGGACCCTGAGGTGCTGGCGTGGACCCCAGCTGTGCCAGAGGGCAGGGGCTGGGTAGTGCCCTGGGGTAGTGCTGAGCCCTCCACTGCTGCAGAGGGGAAGAGGCTGCTCTGGGCTAATATGCTGGGAAACGGGGTGATCTGGGGGTCCCTACCTCCCCCTGGGTCAGGTCTGTGTGGTGTCCTGTGCCGGTCTGGGCCTTGCATGAGGGAGCCTGGGCCCCGGCAGACCCCTGCCCTTGTGGGGACGAGGGTGTCCCTCTGCTCCTGCGTTGCCGCTCGGCCGGCCTGGCTCTCCCTGACTCCATCTGTCCTGCAGCTGACGCCGGGCGGGAAGGCGGCCCAGGCTGGCGTAGGAGTGGGCGACTGGGTGCTGTACATCGACGGGGAGAGCACCAGCTCCATGACGCACATCGAGGCCCAGAACAGGATCCGCGCCTGCGGGGACAGGCTCTGCCTCACCCTGAGCAGGTAGGATTCGTGGGTCCTGCAAACCTGGGGTCCAGCAAACCTGGGGTCCTGCTGTGGCCAGAGCAGAGCCAGGACCCTCTGCCCAGTGCCATCTCCTGGCATCACCATCTCCTGCATCACTGCTCCTTGCTCAGAGCCTGGCAGCCCCTGACTGGGTCCAAGGGTTCTACTTGGCTGGATGAGGCTTAGCCTGGCTGCTGGACCTCACCTGTGCGCCACAGGGCGGCGCCAGCCAGCCGTGGCTCCCCTTGGGCAGGTGTTGCATCCCTGGCATACCAGCACCCTGGCAGTGGCTGGGCCAGTTCCAGCACCTGCCCGGCTATCTCCTCTCTTTGCAGAGCCCAGAACCACCTGGGGAAGCCACAGAAGGTACGTGTCGCTCCTGGCGCTGCAGTGGCAGCTCAGCCTCGTCTCAGGGGAGGGGAATCTCTGCACGTAGATGGACAAACGGACTTTGCTCCTGGGGCCCACAGGCTTCTAGGGGACCAGGGTGTGTTCGGAGGGCTGGAAAACTCGCTGGAGGAGCAGCTCTGACCCCCGGCACCACAGGGGATCGGAGGGGGCGGGGTTGGCCCAGCAGGCACCCAGGCCCCGGCTGCTGCCTGTCTGTGGCCCTGCCGGTGCCGGGTGTGGGCAGGGGTGCAGAGGGGCCGAAGCCGGGGAGGAGGCTGGGCAGGC